AGGAGGAGAGCCTGAAAAGCTCCCAAAAATTGACCCCGCGAGTTCCCAGGAAGGCGTTGGGAGCCTTGAGCTGCTCGGGCCAGCCCCCGCTCCGATTCGACTGGTGTCCCCCGCCATCTTCCCATTCTCCACAACATCCGTCCTCCTCCTCGCTCCACCTCCCTCCCGGCCTCTCCCCTCCCTCTCTTCCGCCTCCCTCTTGCTCCTCTTCCTGGTCCTCCTCCTCCTCCTCCTCCTCCTCCTCCTCCTACTCCTCCTCCTCCTCCTCCTCCTCCTCCCATCCTTCCTCCCCACTCATCCGCCCTTTCCCTCTCACCACGCATCGAGTCAAGCTCCCGTCCCATCCTTCCATCCCGCCCCTCCCTTGCTCATCAAGTACATGTAACCTCCCAACGCACACGTTCACTTGGCAATGTGCACGTCGTCGTATCATAGCAATGCGGAATCTGCCATACAGTATGAAAATGCTGACTGGCACACTGCTTCAAGTGTGTGGGTCCCAAACGGCCTGGAAGTATCTGCACCACCATAGAGCATCGACGAAAGCGCCCGCCCATCGCAAAGCAGCATCAGCGAGCAGGGGCACACGAGCCCCGCGAGCGTGCTAGAGCAAGAAATGCTTCGAGCGGCATGGGACAACAACGGACCACCATCCGATGAAATCAAGGTGGTGCTGGGCAAATGCGCCGACCCCTTGGGGCTCATCGGCGCGTGAGATGTTCCCCCCTCCCCCAAAAACCCCTCCCCCAGGAGCCCGGTCTGGTCGATGATTTGGAGGGGGGGTCCCCCGGGGAGCGCCCGAGCGCATCACGGGGGGACAGAGGGCTCCAAAACAAGGTCCAAGAGAGCCACAGGCCGCCGAAAGAGCGATAAAAAAAACGCCTGCGCTGGGCTCCAGACGGCCCAGGAGGCCCCCAAGACGCCCCAAGAAGCCCTCAAGAGGCGTCCCAAGACGGCCTCCAAGAGCAAACATCGCCCTCTTCCCATCGGACAACGTACAATGTTAGCACATTCGCCTCCTGTACGCTCATGACGGCGTCCAGGACAGCCGAAGAGGCTTCCTGGATCGCCCCAAGACGACCCAAGAGGCCCCCAAGAGGGCTCCCAGACGACCCAAGAGTCAAGAAGCCCCCAAGACGGCCCCAAGGAGGCTCCAGGACAGCCCCAAGAGGAGGCCGGCCCAGTGGGGGAACCCGAACGAAAATTTCGAGTCTTCGTCCCCAAACCGACCCCGGGTTGCCCCAAGAAGCCCCACACAGGCCGCCAGGTAGCTCCGAGAGGCCGAAAAAAGTCCAGAAGAGGCCTCCAGGAGACCCCCAAGCGGTTCAAAAACTGCTTCCCAAACGCCCCCGATACGCCTCCCACGGGACTCCCACGAGACTCCGTCTGCCATCCGCGTGGCCTCAGACCCGCAGCCCAGGCACGGTGGCGGGATGTGCCGAAGGCCCTTCGACCATCACAAGAGCTCCAAGCAACCCCCAAAAGGCGCCCAAGAGGCCCTCAGGAGCAACGCGCAACAGCAGCCAGTCCCCAACGGGGTCGGCGGTGTGGCGTAAACCTAAGAATCTAAAGCACAACGCGGCCTCGAGGCACTCTGCAGAAGCACTGAATTTTGATAGCGACCAATGACAGCAAGGGCACGGTCAACAACAAGGGGCAGGTCGACCTGACGGGGCAAGGCCATTTGGCGTGCCCGCATCACGGGCCAGCAGACCACCCCCCGAAGTGAAGACGGGGCAAACATTGGACGAGGAGGCGATGATGCGATTGGCTCAAGATGCGCTCCAGGAGCGTGGGTGGGCCCATCCTGTCTGGCGCCCGCGCGGAACAACAGGGAAAGCCTGGAAACCCAAGAACGTATCATTGGCACGACTTCTTGTGCAAAGGGGGGGGGGACGATGGAGGAAGGGGGGCGGGAGGAACGGGAGGTAGAGGGGCAGTCGCGGGCCGAATGTGTGCGCCAGCATGCGCGGGCTTACCGCGGCCGCGGCGCTGCGCCAGCCAACAACAAACAGTAATTGCAATCGCCGCCGCATGCGTTTCGCAAGCCAAATTACGGGCGGGTGGGTGGGATGATTGCGCGAGCAATGGAGTTGTCCACTCCAAATTTTCCAAAACCGATTGCACCACAGATTTTCTCCCCTTTAATAAGAATATTGGGATCTACCCCTCCCCCCGGACTCAACGCCCCACCATTTTTCGCACTGTTCCCTTATTGATCCTGCATAGCCATCCATCCGAAAAATAAAGCCATATCATCCTTGGCAGTCCCTTATCGACCCCCCTCGCGCACGCCCGTTGATCAAACATCACCACTGTCGAAAAAAAACCTTGCAACACAACGGGACCCAATGCACACGCGCGTGTCGCCGCACGCATGCTGCAATCCCTCAAACTTTAGGTCCCGCCAGGAATTCGCAACCGACTGTCCAGAAATACATATATATATACATACATATATACATATATGTATATATGTATATATATACACACACATAAACGGGCTTCGCGACAGGACTGGTAAAACAAGCCTGCGCCCGCGCTCTTGCGAGTTTTTACGGAGACCACCGGTTTATCAACATGTGCATCACATGCTACCAAATGTGCCCCCCTGCGCGCATGTCGAAATTAGCCGAACGCTTTTGCGCGGGTGCCGTCGCAAGAATGCTTTGCAACCGATGGGGCGGAAAAGAACACGCGCGCGTCGTCGCGCACGCGCGCCAAAACCCACCATCATCTGAAGTTTCGAAATGATGTAAACATCGGGCGCCCCAAAATCATAGAACATAGAAGCGGTATCGCGACCGATAAAGATTGTCCAAAAAGGCCAGCGCACGCTTTTTTTGCGAACCTTTAAGAGCGCGATACGTTGGCCCAGATTTTCACAAAAGGCAGCCAAACGGGCCCCTCGCGCGCGCATGTCGACATCATTCGGGTGCCCTTGCGCGCGCTCTGGGGGCCACTCGCGCGATCCATGTCAAACAACGTCAAGCGGGCCACTCGCGCGCGCATGTCGAAATCCGTAGCAGGACCTCCACCACCGATGCGGGGACACCACCACCGTCATCGGCGTGATCATCATCGGCGCAGTCATTGCCCTTGCCGTCGTCATTGCTATCATTGCCACCAACGCCGCTACTATCACCATCGTGACTGCCGTTGACGGCGTCGCCATGACACCGCGCCCGCCCGAGTCACTGACTCGCACGGAAGTGCCCACGCGTCAGCGCTGCCTGCGAGACGTGCTGGGAAGTCCCCAGCGGTCAGCGCCACCGCGGACGCGTCGGTCGCGTCAGACTAGCTGGTCGCTGTGCGCGCGAGGCTGGGCGCTAGCGCGGCCGCGTCGATGCGCCAGCCAGCGCCGAGCAGTCATCGCAATCGCCGCCGCATGGGTTTTGCAAACCAAGTTGCGGGTGGGTGGGTGAGGGGATTGCACGAGCAGTGGGGCTGACAACTTCAAGTTCGGCAGGGCGAACTGCACCTCATCCGCTCCACAGAAGTTGCTGCACATTGGTTGCTCGGGCCACCCTGTTTGGGGTCCACGCTGGCTGGCGTGCTTCAGTGCTTTCAGCCGATCGCCCCAAGACGGCCCAATAGGTAAAACAGGGCTAAGATCGGGATAAATCGCTTCAGAGCGTTCTGGAGCGCTCTCAGAGCGTTCCCGAACGCTCTGGAGCGGCCGTGGCGCCCAATACATCCTCCAAACCCGCCGATTCTCAGAGATTTCGAGTTATCCCGATCCGATTTTGTGCCGATCTTCGCGTCGTTTTAATAGGCCCAAGAGGGCCCGAAGCCAGTCCGAGAAGCCCCCGAGGCACGACCCTAACGCGGGCCCCAAGCCGGCCACCGATGGCCAAGAGGCACCACAGAAGCCCCGAGGAGCCCCTGAGAGGTCTTCAGGAGGCCACAGGAGAACCCCAGGAGTCCCCAGGAGAACCCCAAGAGGCCCCCAGAGGCCCCAAAGAGGCCCCTTGGAGCTCAAATGCGAGGAGGCGTCAAGAGGGCTTCAAGAGGCCTCCTCATCTTCCTTCTCCTCCTTCTCCTTCTCCTCTCTCTCCTCCTCCTCCTCCTCCTCCTCCTCCTCCTCCTCCTCCTCCTCCTTTCTCTTCGTCTCCTCAGTCTTCCTCCAAGGGGTTCCACAACTGCTAGGGGAACACATAGTCCAATAGCTTGGTGAGACTTCGGCCCAACGTTTGGCCGCATGGGTGTTGGCAAGGGGCCGCATAATTCGCAGCCGGCGTCTTACATATGTGGTTCTACAATGCTAGATTGTGATGGATTGTATTGAGTTGTCTTGCTTTCCTGGAATAGGAACGGAAAACATCACCACGCGGTCACGGAGCGTGCCGGCTGCTGGAAACGGACATCACAAAATGGACAGAAGAGTTTGCCGGGTTGCTGACCGCGGACCCGAGAGAGGCAGAACCGGGCTGCAAAAGAGATGCACGACAGCACAAACGCAAGGAATAATGAAAGAAACGAGGGAGTGGAGGGAGGGCGCGGAGGGAGTAATGAGGAAAATCGTGGAGGTCTCGCCCGGCAACTTGAGACCCAACTTGCATCGGAATTACGTGTGATTTACGTCGCAATCACGTCTGATTCACGTCGGACTCACGTCGGAACGTCGCCGCGCGAACATCGACCCATATCTTCCGTGGCGGATGTGCTTACTAGATGGATGTGGAGATGTGTTGGCCCCCGTCGGCCCGAATATCTCCGTACCCACCGCCTGTGGAGGCCCGAGACAATCCGTCCCCCAGGCGGAGGTCATGTATAAATCCCCGCCTCGATCGCGAGGCCCCCAGGACTTTTCTCTCAGAGGGAGGGAGGCTGGGGAAGAGGGGTGCTCGCGGTGCTTTTTGAAGGGGCCCCAGGACACACAAATAAATACACACAAATAAACATATTCCCTATATTTTCTGGATTTCTGTCTTCCCCCCCACTTCCCATATTTTACGATATTTTCTGGGGGATCGACGATTCATTGTGTCTGTGTGTTTCTTTCCCTCCTGACTTTTGCCCGCTGGACCGACACGAAGCCGGCGTCACTCTCCGCACCGCCGGGGCGGGGAGAGAGCCCGCGGCCGCGTCTGTACAGTGTGCCGAGCGGGCCGGTCGGCGGTTCCTCCCCGCTTCGGGAGCCTCGCGACCAGGCCATGACGACGCGAGCGCTGCCAGAAGCGGCCCTGGCGCAGAGGGACCCCAGCTCTTCGCGCCGCTCTTCTCGGGTCGGGCGAAAGGGGGGTATAGCAAAGGGGGGGGTGAGAATCAGCTCACGTAGCTGATTTTCCCGGCGCCTCCCGGCGCCGGGAGGCGCCCATGTATCGAGGAATGGGCCCCTCGGCGGGGCCGAAACCAGCTGCATGCAGCAAATTTCGTACCCCCCCTTTCCCAATCCCCCCTTTCGCCCGGCCCGATCTTCGGGGAGCGAAGCACGGCACAAACAGACAAGCTCAGAGGTCCGCGCGGATTCTCGGGTCGGCGCTCGACCCCCTCTCCCCGGCGCGCGCAGCGCGCCAGGGGGCCCCAGCGCCGATCCAGGAAATCCGCGTGGACCTCTCAGCTGTTGTGTTTATGTCATTGTTCCTTCCCCTGACTCTGGAGCTCCCGGTGCCCTCTGGGCCTCGTGATGGGGTGCTCCTGCGGCCGTCTGGGCCCCCCCCGGAGGATCCCGTGGGCACCTTTCGGGAGCGGCCAAGAGGGGGGTGTCCAAGAGGGGGGGGTGCAAATCATGACTGGCGGCATGTGCGCGGCCCAGCCGGGGGGGGCCAGGGACGTGATGAAATAAGAAGAGGCGCCCTGAGATCTGGGGAAATATCGTGGCCCCCGCCATGAGATCCACCCCCCCCTACCCTGACCTTCCAGAGAGCTATTTTTTAGCACTGGAGACCTAAAAACTTAAAAAGCTGAGCGGAACAGCCTAAAACCAAGACGTAGAATAGCTCTGGGATAGGTTTTTAGGTCGGGTGCTATTTTTTAGCCCTCCTGGAAGGTCAGGGTAGTCATCTCCCCCCTCTTTGCCGCCCCCGAACCTTGGGCCAGGAGCCCCTCTGGCAGCACCCGGCCGGTGTGCGGAGACTGCGCCCCTCGACAGACAGTATTGGTCCCCGGCAGGGCAGCCCGCCCGCGGCAGCGGAGCCGCCCTGCCGGTCGCTCCACCTATGCCTGCGCCCAACTATTGCTCTGGCCGCTTCTGGCTGCTCAGAGATGAAGGGGCCCCAGGACACACACACACACACACACACACACACACACACACACACACACACACACACACACACACACACACACACACACACACACACACACACACAAATACACACAAATAAAAAGTATTCCCCCAGATGTCCCCATATTTTCTGGGTTCTTGTCTTCCCCCCCCCCACTTCCCATATTTTCCGATTTTCCGACATTTTCTGGGGGATCGACGATGAATTGTGTCTGTGTTTTTTTTTTTCCTCCTGACGAGATCAGAGAACACTGAGGCCCCCGACCCCACACGCCGACGAGGCGGCCCTGAAAGCACCGCCGCCTCGTCGAGGCGGATGCCGCTCCCACCCTCGGAGCAGGGCGAGTGGAGACAGTGGCAGCCCTCGAAATCGGGCCCCTGGACCCCTCCCGGGGTCCAACCGCACCAGCTCTCCGAGCTGCGACCATCCGTGCTGACGGGGGTCTCCCCCTCAAGGCCAACGGCCGTTGGCTCAACTAGCCCTCCTCTGATGCACGCCGGCAGTGCGGCCGCAAAGGCACCGTCGCCTTGGCCGAGGTGGCTCCCACACGTACTCACATCTGGCCGTGGGCAAGCCTCTTCAGCTCCTGGGGAAGCAAGCAGACAGCAACACCCTACTCCCCGGACCTCTCAAAGGGTGCTCTCTGCCAAAAACTTCGGCGCGAATCCAGCCGTAGCGGCGAGGGCCTCCCAGAAGGGCCCGAAACAGGCGGAGGCGAGGCAAGGGCAGCTGTATCGGTACCTTTTCCTCCGCGGAGCTCCCCTTCGAGCCACTTGGCCTCCTGTGCGGCGGTGTCGGCCTCCCAGCGGGCCTTCCTCGCGGCCTTCTCGCTCAGGTTCAGCTTGCTCTCGGCCTGCACGGCGGCGTCCTTCGCCCAGGCAAGGTCCTCGCGCAGGGAGGCCTCCTTCTCGCTGTTGGCCTTCAGGAGTCTCTTCACCTGGGACGCAGAGGGTCATGCCAGTACGAAGCTCCGAAGGTGGCATGGGGCGCAGATGGCAATGGTCCCCGGACTATTTTTTTATACAATTTTGGAATATTCCTCCTGTAGAGGGACAGGCCCGACTTCATCCAAGAGGGATGGCCAGACAGCGCCCGCCATCAGACCTACACGAGAAGACTTCGGAGCGCGCTGGTCGCCGATGGGGGGCCGGCTCGCACACGGCAACACGTTCTGTCCGTCGGCGGCGAGGCAGACTGGCTGCACCAGCCAGGGAGCTCGACTCAGGTCGGGCATGTCCTCCTACAGGCGGTCTTTGGACGAACATGGAAAAAACATATCTCAAAATACGCAAAACAATTGTCGACCATGGTCAAAGCATCGTCCCCTGACTATATTTGTGGAACGACTTTTGAACATTCCTCCTGTAGAGGGACGTGCCCGACTTGAAAGCTACAGTCAAAACGTATATGAAGGACGGGTGATAAGGACGCAAGACCCTTGGAGGCCGAAGCTGGGTTTTTTAGGGCGGCGGGCGACCAGTGATAATGGCAAGGACGAGTCTCCGAGGCAAGGACACAAGGGTACCCTAGATGAATTAACGGGCGAAGAACGGTATGAAATAAACTGTTTCGCTGTCGGGGGCGCCTGTCCCTGGGCGGCTGGAAAGTCTATACCCTTACGGTGGCACCGTAGGGGCATAACCTTTCCAGCCGCCCAGGGACAGGCGCCCCCGACAGCGAAAAAGGTTATTTTATACCGCTCTTCGCTCGCTGAATGAAGGCGCGCGTCCTTACTAGGCGCGTTGACTGTAGACGGGGGCACCGGAGAGCGGACTGGCCGGCGAGTGCCGGAGGGGGCGGCGGACGGACAGGGCGGCCGCGGAGGGGGGCAGGAGACGGGGCCACGCCTCCGCTTCTGATGCTCCCGCCCTACTTTGGCCTTGACCACCAGGAAGACTTTCGAGCAGAGCCCCGGATCATCAGGGGTAGTAACTCGGGTCAGGGCTAACTCGGGTTGGCTTTTCGGGAATCCGAACCCGACTTACCCCGGACCCGACTTACCCCGGATAACTCGGGCGTCCAGAGCCCCAAATCATCAGGGATAATGCGGGTCAGGGCTAACTCGGGTTGGTTTTTCGGGAATCCAAACCCGAGTTACCCCGGACCCGAGTTACCCCGGATACTCGGGCGCCCAATTCGAACGTCCAAAAAAGTACCGAAACTCAAGGGTTTTCACGTGCCGGGCCCCGGGGGACACTGGCCCGACACTGTTTTTCGACACTGCTTCGACACTCCTGTGTCACTCTGCTGGGTGCTCGAGATTGTTCCTGGGGTGCGCTCCTTCAGTAGGTTGGGAACCACACGATGCTAGGGGGGTGGGTGCAGCATCGGGAGTGCGGACCTGTCCCCCATACAGGGGGATTTTCGATGACAAATAAAAAAAGAGACCCCCCAAAAATCGTCCACAAACGCTCCAAACATAGCCTGGGGACTATGTTTCTAGTATTTTGTCACCTTTTTGGGGCATAATCCTCCGCACAGAGTCAGCACGTGCCACTTGTCTGGGTGCTCGAAATCATTTCTGGGATGCGCTCCTTAAGCAGGATCTGGCCATCGCTCGGACGTCCATTTCCTGTGTTTTTTCGGTTTCGTGCGTGGCTTCTTCGCCAAATGATCAAGGATGCTCCTCGATGGTCCTCGCCGAGAAAAAAATGCACACGTCCGAGCGATGCCAAGGGATGGGAACAACATAATCCTGCTGGACAAACCTCCCTTTAGTAGACCTCCCCTTAGTGAAATCGGCCTGGGACCGAAACCGACGGACATGGACGCGCAAAAATGACGGCCGCGGCGCCCTCTCGCGAACCGAAAACGGCCAATTCCTTGATCGACGTGTCAGGGCAGGAGGTCTGTCCACCCCCGACCGCATTCCGTGATCGGGGGGGCCCCTCGGGGCCACACCACGGGCCACTCCGGCGAAGAGCCACTCTCTTGCGTGTCGTCGAGACGGTAGGAGGAGGAGAAGGAGGAGGAGGGAGGAGGAGGAGGAGGAGGGGGAGGGGGAGGGGGGGAGGAGGAGGAGGGGGAGGGGGAGGGGAGGAGGAGGAGGAGGGTAGGAGGGGTCTGTCCACCCCGATTTTTGGGGAGAGGAGGAGGAGGAGAGGAGGAGGAGGGGGAGGAGGAGGAGGAGGGGGGGGAGGAGGAAGGAGGAGGAGGGAGGAGGAGGAGGAGGAGGGAGGAGGAGGAGGAGGAGGAGGAGGAGGAGGAGGAGGGGTCGGCACGTGCCGGGGCGGCGCCGCTCGCCTCCTCGCGCTCGTGGGCGCGCGCCCGCTCCACGTCCGCCAGGGCCCCCTGCAGCTGCTCCCGCGCGCCCCGCAGCTCGGCCTCCCGGGCCTCCACCCGCTCACCTCGGAGGGGCCCAAAAGGCCCACAAAGAGAAACACACAGACAGACACAGACACAGACACAGACACAGACACAGACACAGACACAGACACAGACACACACAGACACAGACAGACACAGACACAGACACAGACACAGACACAGACACAGACACAGACACAGACACAGACACAGACACACACAGACACAGACACAGACACAGACACAGACACAGACACAGACACAGACACAGACACAGACACAGACACAGACACAGACACAGACACAGACACAGACACAGACACATACACAGACACAGACACAGACACAGACACAGACACAGACACAGACACAGACACAGACACACACACACACACACACACGCACGCACGCACGCACGCACGCACGCACGCACGCACGCACGCAATCACGCACGCACAAAAACGCACAGACACACAGACACACAGACACACAGACACACGCACACACACACACACACCTTCACACACACACACACCTTCGCTTACCTCGGAGGAGCCCAAAAGGCACACAAAAAGAAGCTGAAGGGGCCCTGGGACACACAATAAATAAGAACACACACAAACATAAAAACAGATCCCCCCAGATTTTCCCCATAGTTTCTGGGTTTCTGTCTCCCCCCCCACTTCCCATAGGTTCCCATGTTTTCTGGGGGAATCGACGATTGTTTGTGTCTGTGTTTTTTTTCCCCTCCTGAAGCACGCACACACGCACACACACACACACACACACGCACACACACACACACACACGCACGCACACACGCACACACGCACACACACGCACACACACACACACGCACAACACAACACACACACGCACACACACACACACACACGCACACACACACGCACGCACGCCACCACACACACACACACACACACGCACGCACGCACGCACGCACACACACACACACACACATTCACACACACACACACACACACACACACACACATTCACACACATTCACACACACATTCACACACACACATTCACACACATTCACACGCACACACACACACACACATTCACACACACACACACACGCACACGCACACACACACACACACGAATCCCAGGATTCCCGATAGTTGCCCATATTCTCTGGGTGCTCGTCTTCCCCCTCACTCGGCTACACGCAAGAATGACCCTGGGTAAGAGTGACCTTTGGTGCGCGACTTTTTGGGGGCCGCGGGGGGACCAAACCTGAGCGCGCAGCTGCTACTGATTCGTTGTCAACCATCTGTGGGCCCATCTGTGCCCGCACCAGAGGTCACTCCGGCGAAAGGTCACTCTTACGTCTAGTCGACCCACTGTCCATATTTTCCTGAATTTTCTGGGGAGTCGACGATTCTTTGTGTCTGTGTGTATCTTTCCCCTCCCGACACCTGACAGCAGGCAGCCGACTCTGCCCCTGCACTGGCCCTGGCTCGGCCCCCGTCCTGGCCCAAAGGACCGGCGCACGCGCCCTCCTGGCTCGGCTTAGGTCGGGCCTGTCCCCCTACAGGGGGATGTTTTGAGCGAAAATAAAGAAATCAAGCAATATCCAAAACATACCAAAACAATATGCAAACATATCCAAAGTAATTTGGACGAAAAATCAAACATATCCAAAACATGCTCAGAAGATGCCCAAAAGTATCCAAAACATAGTCCCCAGACTATTTCTTGCATATGTTTGAGTATTCCCCCAGTAGAGGGACAGGCCCGACTTGAGGCTTGGCCAGGGAGGAGTACGGCAGGAGGCTGGAACACACAGATGGCTGCACCGGCGTGTGGAGCATCCCGAAGCCACGCGCCGGATGCACATACGGAAGCCCAGCCTGCTTAGCCATGGAAAGGCCGAGCGCTGGAAAGGCAGCTGGCAGCTGGAACGCCTCATGTGTTGATTAGGGATAAGAGGACCCCTAACCCCTTGGGAGGCGACCAAGTTCAGGGGGGCCAGGAACATGGGATAGACACTCCTTTCTGCAGATGTATCGAACCAACCCGCCCATATAGATCAGCCCTCATGCGAAAAAGGGGACCTCAGTGAGGCCACGTCTTCGTCGCAGTATTATGGTAGGGGGTTATTGTGTCCTCGATGACGTGTATCCAGCTTCCTGGCACACCGGTCCTAGGCCCAAGACTGGCCAGGCCCGGGTCGATGCGCGCGTGCAGCCAGCGCCCTCCGACCTAGCGCCTTCAGCTGCTCCCGAGACTGCCGGAGCTCCGCGCGCTCCGCCTCGCGTTCCTTCTGCGATGCGCCGCGGCCTTCTTCCTCCTCTTCCTCTTCCAGCTCCTTCTCCTCCATCAACTCCTCCATCAACTCCTCCATCTCCTCCTCCCTACACCCCCTCCCCTCCCCCTCCCCACCCCCTCCTCCTCCTCCTCCTCCTCCTCCTCCTCCTCCTCCTCCTCCTCCTCCTCCTCCTCCTCCTCCTCCTCCTCCTCCTCCTCTCCTCTCCTCCTCCTCCTCCTCCTCCACCTCCCCCTCCCCCCCTCCCCCCCCTCCCCCCTCCCCCTCCTCCCTCCTCCCTCCTCCTCTCCTCCTCCTCCTCCTCCTCCTCCTCCTCCCCCTCCTCCCCCCCCTCCTCCTCCTCTCCCCCCCTCCTCCTCCTACCTCCTCCTCCTCCTCCTCCTCCGCCCTCCTCCTCCTCCTCCTCCTCCTCCTCCTCCTCCTCCTCCCCCCCTTCCTCCTCTCCTCCTCCTCCTCCTCCCTCCTCCTCTCCTCCTCCTCCTCCTCCTCCTCCCCCTCCTCCTCCTCCTCTCCTCCTCCTCCCTCCTCCTCCTCCTCCTCCGCCTCCTCCTCCTCCTCCTCCGCCACCTCCTCCTCCTCACTCCTCCTCCTCCTCCTCCTCCTCCTCCTCCTCCTCCTCCTCCTCCTCCTCCTCCTCCTCCTCCTCCTCCTCCTCTCCCTCTTTTGCGAGGCGCCGCGGCCTTCTTCCCACTCTCGCCTGGGCCGGCTGCGCGCGGGGAGAGTGGCCCCTGGCAGACGCGGGCCTCGGCCGCGCGCCGGGCTGACCGCGGCGTGCGCTGCCACGGCAGCGGCCTGCGTGCCTGGGACTGCCTTGGGCGGGTGGCCACGCGGGGTGGCCGGAAGAAAGAAGAAGCCAGGACGAGGATAAACTCGGAGGAGGATAAAAATCGGAGGAGGAGGATAAACTTGGGGGGGGAAGGAAAGAAAGACGGGGGGAGGAAGGAAAGAAAGACGAAGCCAGAACGAGGACAAACTCGGAGGAGGAGAAAAATCGAGAATCCCTGGGGGGGAAGAAGAGAAAGACGAAGCCAGGACGAGGACAAACTCGGAGGAGGGTAAACATCGAGAAGCTCTGGGAGCCAGCGGCTCTGGAGGCTGTCTCGGGCGCCGCGGCCTTCTCAGAGCGTTCCGGAACGCTCTGAGGGCGTTGCGGAACGCTCATGGAACGGATCCTCGTCCCGAGCCCCGTCCGAAGAAGGGCCCCAAAGGGGCCCTTTGGGGCCCCCCTTTGGGAGCCAGCAGGTGCCCAAGAGGGGCATTCCAAGCTCTCTTGTTCACTCCCCGTGTAGGCCACCCCCCATCACTGCCCACACGATTGCTTTGGAGCCCCGCAACGGTGCGGTGACCGACCGTGCGGTGACCTCGAAATCCCCCAAGACCTCACCGCACGGTCCGTCAACGCACGGTTTTGGGACCCCGGATCCCCCAGTCGCCCGAGACATCCTCGGAGAACGACCCAAGTCCCAACACCGTGCCATGACCCCGAATCCCCACCGACTCACCGCACGGTGTGGTCACTACCCCGTTTAGGGACCCCCGAATTGCACACACACACACACACACACCCCGACATCGCCGGGACGAGGACAACATCGGACAAAGATAATATCGTGAATATCTGAGATCCGGCGGCCCTGAAGGACGCATCGGGCGCCGAGGACTTCTCAGAGCGTTCCGGAACGCTCAGAGAGCGCCCTGGAAGGGATGTACAGCGAGACTTAGAGCAGAATAACATCTGTCAAGAGCATGAGACCCTCCTGAGACCCTCCGCCAGGCAAATTGAAGAACTCTCGAGGGTGCCATCCCCCAGGATGCACAATAACATCCAACAAGCACGAAAAACACTAGGGCAACCTCCCCGAACCGACCTTGATCTTCTCCCTCGGTCCGACCGTATCCTTGTCCCAGCCTCGCCTGACACCCCCTCTCCCCCCAGCGCCATCACGAAGGCAGCCCCCGCAACGCCCCAGCTTTTCGGGAGGATGTTTCTTAATCAGATGCTCGACTGTACGACGACTTGCATTCTTCAAGGCGCATCGCCAGGCAGGTCCCGACTTTGAAAGCCATCCCCACACCCACCACATCATGTTTTATATGTTCAAAGCTTCTCTCTAGAGCGACCGTCGTCAGCTGCATGTGCCCCAAGAGAGGCCCCTGGCAACCTTCGAAAGATGCAACCGCCGAGGGCCGGGGAAAAAACATTATCATAAAACCAAGCACGTGTTTCATAAACACCCACAACTGTTTGATAATAAGCTGCAGCGCACTGAATTGCCTGGGACGTTGCTCAAATCGCGCCATCGCGCATGTGCCACGACGCAATTTCATTAACGCAAGAACTCGTTTATAACACACGCAAAACTGTTTAGTAAAAGCGAAGACGTTTTACTTGAACGATTCGTGAAACCGCACATGTCGCGATTGGCAATCGTCGCCGTGGGGGCGTGCAGATGAAGTCCGCAAGCGTTCCGGTTAAAATGTAAATCAGCCTGGTGGGTGTGGGGGGCTTGTACTCTGCCTCTCTCTCTCTCTCTCTCTCTATCTCTCTCTCTCTAGAGAGACAAAGAGAGAGAGTGAGAGAGAGAGAGAGACTTAAGACGAAACCAGGGCGAGGATACCATCGGGCGTCTCTGAAAAATGTCTCGGGCGCCGCGGCCTTCTCGGAGCGTCCGGGAACGCTCTGAGAGCGTTCCGGGTCGCTCTGGAACGGATCTATCCTTAAGCCGGGCCTGTCCCCCTACAGGCCGATTCTGGCCAAAAAATGAAAATTACCCTGTGACGTACCCAACCCATTTGCATCAATGGAAACGAGGAGTTGGCCGAAACTTGCATGGACAATCAACTTGATGTGTAAGCTACTTGGGACACGCGCCTATGGCATGATGCGCAGGATAACCATACAAGAACGAGGGCCGACAGCTACAGGCTCGAAGAGGACATGGGGAGTCGGGAACGCAGAGCAGGAGAAAAACATGCGGGAAGCCGAACCATCAGCACGGCAGCAGCAGAGGGAAGGTGACTGCAGGAGGAGAACAAGGACGAAAGCGGCGTCTAATTTGAGTCTGCGGTGGGCACCCACTGTGCTGTGCCCCTCAGCAGGCCTCGAAAGTGGCGACAGTTTCACAGATCGCAGCCCCCCAGGGATGGCGCATCTAACTTGAATCTGCGTGTGGCGTCACTGTGCTGGGCCCCCCCAGCAGGCCTCGAAAGTGGCGACAGTTTCAAAGATCGCAGCCCCCCAGGGATGGCGAGGTCTAATTTGAATCTGCGTGTGGTGTCACTGTGCTGGGCCCCCCAGCAGGCCTCGAAACTGGCGACAGTTTCACAGATCGCAGCCCCCCAGGGATGGCGAGGTCTAATTTGAATCCGCGGTGAGTATCCACTGTGCTGGGAGTTTCACAGATCGCAGCCCCCCAGGGATGGCGAGGTCTAATTTGAATCCGCGGTGAGTACCCACTGTGCTGGGCCCCCCAGCAGGCCTCGAAAGTGGCGGCAGTTTCACAGATCGCAGCCCCCCAGCTGGCACGCAGCGACGAGCGAGGCGAACGGCAAGGGGGAAGAGAGGGGCGGGAAGGGGCGGGAAGGAAGGAAGCAAGGAAGGCGACGCGCGAGCAGTGCTCTATTCCCAAACGAGACCCCAACGCAGGAGGGTTGGGAAATATTCAAACAATGCCCAAAACATGCTCAAACATACCCCCAAAGTCCCCAGAGCATTTTTTGCTATGTTTCGATATCCCCCCTGAACTTAGAGGGGCAGGCCCGACTTAAATCTGTGCTCGTCCTGGCCGCGCCCGACGACTCCTTCCCCAGGGGCGCTCCGTCCCAGATCCACCTCTTGATGGCCCCCGGGCCCGGGCACGGGCTCCGGAGGCCACACAGATCGGCGGTGGACAAGCCTCCCTTTAGTAGACCTCCCCTTAATTTTTCTTGTGTTTTTTTTCGGTTTTTCGGTTTCGTGCGTGGCTTCTTCGGTTTTTCCTGTGTTTTTTCGGTTTCGTGCGTGGCTTCTTCGCCAAATGACCAAGGATGCTCCTCGATGGTCCTCGCCGAGAAAAAAATGCACACGTCCGAGCGATGCCAAGGGATGGGAACAACATAGTCCTGCTGGACAAACCTCCCTTTAGTAGACCTCCCCTTAGTGAAATCGGCCTGGGACCGAAACCGACGGACCTGGACCCGCAAAAATGACGGCCGCGACGCCCTCTCGCGAACCGAAGACGGCCAATTCCTGAATCGACGTTTCAGGGTAGGAGGTCTGTCCACCCCCGACACATCAAGTGGCAGCAGAAGAGACCCGGGACTGAGAGAGTCAGCTGTCTCCTGCCAAATCTGAGGCTGCTCTTAAGTCGGGCGTGTCCCCCTACAGGGGGATGTTCGACGAAACATTGTACATACTTTAAAACATATTCCAAAATGGCAAAAAGAAAATACTTACAAAAATAGTCCCCAGACTATTTTTTGACCCCTGCAGAGGGACAGGCCCGACTTGAGCCTACTCCTCGCGCGCAGCCTCTCGCCTGGCCCTGTCGAAATCGCCCTGCAGCGTCTCCCGGTCCGCCCTGGAGCGCTTCAGCTCCTCCTCGGCAAGCCCGAGCCTGGCGCGGGCGTCCTTGAGCGAGGCCTCCGCCTGCACCCGCACGGCGCCGCTCGCCTCCGCGTCCAGGCGCGCCATGCGCAGGGCCCGCTCGCCCGTCTGCCTGTCGGCCTCCGCCTTCGCGTTCTCCGCGATGAGCCTCTCGAGCTCCGCCTGCGTCTTCCCGTCCCGCTCGATCATCATGCGGAGCTGGGCCTTTAGCTCGTGCTCCATGGTGTGCATGGCGTCGAGGTCCGTGAGGGCGTCGTGCTGCTTGGCCCGGAGGCTCCGCAGCTCCGTGTCGCGGGCCTGCAGCTCCATCTCCGTCCCCTGCCCTGCAACGACGGCCGCCCTCAGCTTCTCCTGCGTGGCCTCCAGCTCGGCCTTCGCCTTCTCCAGCTCTTTGCGGATAGAGTTGACCTCGTCGGTCTTGGACGACGCGACCTTCATCTGCTGCAGGTCCTCGGAAAACTTCAGCTGGTTCTCGGCAAGGGTCGACTTGCACTTCGACACCTGCTTCCCAGCGGCCTGGATGGCCAGCTGCGCGGCCCGGCACAGCGCCGGGCTGGGCATGCCCTGCATCAGCGTCAGCAGCTCCGAGGAGATCCTCTCGCCGTCGCCAGACCACGCTGCGCGGTCTCTGTCCAACCACTCCAGCCAGGACTTGCACGCCCTCTGCAGGTGCTCGTCCGCCAGCCGCGTGTTCTTCTGCCGCAGCGACGCCTCCTCGGCGTCGATGGCCTCCTCCAGCTCCTGCCAGTACTCGGCGCGCACGCCCTCGTCCCCCACGGCCTGCCGGTCCCAGAGGGCCTTGGCCTCCGCCCGCTGGGAGCGGACCAGGGCCGCCAGGGCGTCGTCCGCCATCGGGAGCTTGGCGCCGCCCGGGGCGGCCTGGCCCTTGGCGAGCAGCCGCAGCGTGCCGCAGGCCTTGCCGCGCAGCTCCTCGAGGAGTCCCGCGCACGTCGTGTGCTGAACCGCGTCCCAGGCGCCCCGCACGGACAGCACCGCGTTGTCGTTGAGCGCGCCGACCAGCTGCCGCATGAGCGCCACGAAGCCCACGCAGCCGATGGCCTGGCCGCCCACGAGCTTCGGCTGGCTGTGGCATGTGGCGATGAGCTTCGTGCGAAGGGCCTCGACGCCTGCGCGGAACTCGCTGCGCAGGGCCGAATACTGCAGCCGGTCGAGCTGCTGCAAGTCCTCCTCCTCCTCCGCAGGCCGCACCAGGGTCGCGCAGGAGCGCTGGCTGAAGAAGCGGAGAAGGCTCTGCCGGACCTCATGCGCAGCCTGCCCCCTCTCCACGTCGCGCGTCGTCGCCGGGGCAGCGCGCAAGGCATTCTCCAAGTATTCCGAGGGCGAGATGGGGGCGTTGCTCGCGTCGACAAGGTCGAGCTGGAAGTCACGCAGCACCCAGAGCAGCTCCGGCCTGCTGGCCTCGTTGCCACGATCTTCGACGTGCTCAGCAAAGCGGCATGTGAGGGCGAGGGCGTTAAATAGGCCTTCATTCAGAGCGCCCTTAGTATTCAGCACCAGCACAGAAGACAACAAAGCGCAAAGCGTCATGAGCTGTGCGTCACGAGTGCGGTCGCTCTGAGTACTACCAAAGCCTTCGCAGTCCACGAAGGCGAGCAATGGGCTGCCACTGGCATCAGCGTTCAACGAACCGTACAGCCAAAGACCCTCTGTGCAAGCACGGCTGGTCGAGCCAACCTGGAATAGGGGCAATTGCTTTTGAATCCTTTCCAACAAGAGGTTCAGGATGTAGCTCTTGCCCGTGCGGTAGAGACCGCAGATGGACACCACTGCAATACGCCTGCGCTTGCGCACTATTCAATGGCAAAGCACGGGCGGCAACGAAACTAGCCATGAACTTGCGTGGGATCAACCGCGTGATCCCACCGACTGCACCAACACTGACGCATAACGGACACACGATAGCTGCGACTGCCAAATGACAACTGCCACCCGCTTACGTGTCTGCCATTATTTGCTAAGAAGACTTCGCATGATCTGAACTTGCTGCGCAACGTATCAGGAGGAGACGGCATTGGGCATTGCCATCGCAGAACTCTGAGGAAGCGCCTGTTGCCGTATCTCTCCAGCATCTTGGCGCCCTCTTCGCACACCTAAGAATGTGAAATTGATATACGAGCCATGCTAACACTGGATGCTCCAAACATGAACCGCGTAAGCCAGACCATGCACGATAACGCGTTGCGGTATGATGTGAGCAATAGAGAGAGAGAGAGAGAGAGAGACGATGCCAGGGCGAGGACCCCCCACACACACATTTCCATTGCAGGTCATTGCAGCCAAACTGTGCAACAACAATGCGCAAAATATCGTGCACTGTAGATAATGCGCCACACCGTAAGCCGGGAAACCAGAAGGTACTGATACCACTACTCCCCGGACCTCTCCAGGGGTGCGTTCTGACCAGGATTCCGAAGTGAATCCAGTGGTGGCGACGAGAGCCTCCCAGGAGGCCCCAAAAAGGGGAAACAAGGGAAAGGAAGGTATGGGTACCTGTTCCTCCTCGGAGTAGGGCACCTACGATCGGAACTTTGGAGGGGATAATCAAGTGCGGCCTCCCCGCCTGCTGTTTCAATTGGGCCACGTTCAACCCCGTGGATCAAGAAATACATACGGAAAGGGGTGGATGCTTCAACATCCAGGGGTTGGGGTTAGGCACCAACCATAGGGCGCAAAGCAAAGGCCCCAGCTTATCAACCGCACGGCACCAGCGAACAGGGCACGCACCACAGGGCACAGAAACAACTGGGCACCGACACCTCGCCATCGCTCGAACGTCCATTCCCTGTGTTTTTGTTGGTTTCGTGCGTGGTTTTGTTCGGCAAATGGTCAAGGATGCTCCTCGATGGTCCTCGCCGGAGGAAAAAATGCACACGTCCGAGCGATGCCAAGACACTAGGGCACCAGACATCGGGCACCAACTAGGAGGCGCCGACCACAGAGCAGCACGCACTGCACCAATCATGCAGTCAGACTGGATTGCAGATGACACGCGAGAGGACACAAGACCCTTCCAAGGGCTAATTACATTGCCATGGGGATGTCGAGGGCACGGGCCTTTAAAGACAGGACAGAAGGGGGCCCTTGACTTGGCAGGGCCGACCTGCTAACCAAGGCCGACTGTAGAGCACCGAGCGCGAACAGCCACAAAGCACGGGCACAGAACGACCAAGTGCAACAAAAGCAGGGCAAGCATGCGCATCCCGTCGTACAGTAGGAGCTCGACCACAAGAAACCTTCCACAAGAAGCCGAAACCTGAAACCCTGGGACGACCATGGATCTTCGGTGTGGGAGTGTTACGCGCTCAAGAACAAAACCATCGACACCCAAGAAACCCAGGGCACCCTGGAGGCAAGCAGGGTGTTCCTTGGCATGGGTTCCCACTGGACGGCACCAGTCATAGAGCACCGAGTGCGAACGGTCACAGAGCATCGGCAGAAGACGACCAAGTGCAGCAAGCAGAGCAAGTGTATGAACCCTGTCGTAGGACACCGAGCACAAACAGACGTCTGGTATTGACCACCAGCGGACGACTCCAGCAGACAGAGCCAGTTCCTGACAACTCGAGCAAGTGAGTGCAATCACCCTCTGGGAAGCTCCAAGCAACAGCCTCCAATCGGCGCCGTCTGTTGGTGAAGTTGTCTGGCCGAAGGACCTAGGGGCACCATTCTGTGGTGCGAGCCCAGCGCAAATGGTGCCCTCGTGTGGCCGAAGAACCGAGGGGCGCCGTTTTATGGTGCGAGCCCGATTCGTGTACACCACCAGCACACGCAAACAAAGCGACCAACAACAGCGGGCGTCGGGCCGAGCCAGACGATGCTGCGCCCCCGCGGCGAGCAGGAGCGCGGCCCGCGGCGCAGGGCCAGGGGAGCTCCCAGAATAGGAGCTGCCCGACTTGGTGGTGGTGTGTTGGCATCGGGCCCCTTCGGCAGGGATCGACCCAAACAGTGTTTCTTCGTTCCCCAAACGCTTCGTGGGGTTCTGGTTTTCTGCCATGCCGCGTCGCACCCGCGTCCCCCTCCTCCCCTCATCCTCTTCCTTCATCCCCTCGCCCACGCGCAACGTATGTACGGCGCGTACATGAGACACGCGTCCGCATACAGCCGCACACACACACACACACAAACACATCATACACATGCACAAAACACAAGACACAATACTCGCATGGACACACACGCGCACACACACACACACACACTAACGATGCTAGTGCGCGCCTGGCGTGTTCACTGTATCGTACACTCAAGGCGTATGCACCACACACGTCCAGATACGGCCGCACACGCATCATACACATACCCATGGCACGCCATCTACACGATGTATAAGGCGTTTCTTTATTTTTGGCGATGATGGGCATTATAGGGCGGGAGGGGGGCAAGGGGGGTTTAATGTAACGCCCCCCCCCCCGCCGTGTGGCTCCAGGCACCACAGCCACGCCCACGCGCACGACGATGATGAGCGACGAGCGCCGAGCGCCGAGCGACGACGACGACGACGCAAGCAGCATGTAGGTGGCGACCTGTCCCACAGCGCCTGTGTACAACACAATGCTCGCGTGCACCACAGCGCGCGTGTACACCACAGCGCCTGCGTACACCGCAACAGCCGTATGCGACGCAGCGCCTGACCACAGCGCTGGTGTACACCAGAGCGAATGTGTAACACCGTAGCAACCATGTGCAACACAGCGCCTGTGTACACCACAATGCTTGCGTGCACCGCAGCGCCTGTGCACACCACAGCGCCTGTCTACACTACAGCCTCCGCGTGCACGCAGCGCTGGTGTACACCACAGCGCCTGCGTGCACAGGACAGGTAGAACGAGCATGTAGGTGAGGATCTGCTGCGGACAACTAACGCCACGCCAGGGAAGTGCTGATAATATAATGCGACGTTCTTCTCTCCTCCCTCCTCCGCCACCTCCACCTCCTCCTCCGAGGAGGGGGAGGAGACGGAGAAGGAGGAGGAGGAGGAGGAGGAGGAGGAGAAAGATGAGGAGGAGAAGGGGGAGCAGAAGGAAGAGAAAGAGTTTTTACCGAGAACACAAAACCACAATTTCGGATCCCTATGCGGATTCCAGTGCGGGTCCCTATGCGAATTCCTATGCGGATCCCAGGGTGGATCCCTATGGGGATCCATGCGCGGATCCCTATGCAGATGCTGTGGATCCCGATGCGGATGCCTCTGCGGATGTCCATGCGCAGTGCCATGCGAATCCCAATGCGAATCCTTATGCGGCTCCTTGCGCGGATCCCGATGCGGATCCCTGTGCAGATGCGCATGCGTATGCTTGTGCGGATGCCCATGAGATTCCCAATGCGGACCGGGCTCCTGTGCCGATCCCTATGCGGACTCCCGATGCGCACGGCCGCGGTGCCCGGAGCGCACGGGGGGGGGAGGGGCGTTACGTTATAGGGGGGGGGGGGGGGGAAACGCGCTCACACGTGTAGGATCTCCTGTGCATGGCAGAAGTGGCACTTTCTCGACACCACAAAGGATGCGCAAGGGGTGCTCCAGCGCGGCTTCCGTGACACGCAAAAGGTGGTCCCTCAGCGCGGCCTCTATCCGTGACACGCTCGCAGGGCGTGGCAGGAGTGGCACTTTCTTGACACCACAAAGGATGCGCAAGGGGTGGTCCAGCGCGGCTTCCGTGACACGCAAAAGGTGGTCCCTCAGCGCGGCCTCTATCCGTGACACGCTCGCAGGGCGTGGCAGGAGTGGCACTTGCTCAACACCACAAGGAATGCGCAAGGGAGAGGGTCCACCAGCGCGCCTTGTATCCGTGTCACGCTCGGGGCGTGGCAAGAGTGGCACCTGCTCGACACCACAAGGGATGCGCAAGGGGGTGGTCCCTCAGCGCGGCCTCTAATCGTTGAGACGCTCGCAGGGCGTGGCAGGAGAGGCACTTTCTCGACACCACAAGGGTTGCGCAGGGGGTGGTCCACCAGCGCGGCCTCCATCCGTGACACGCTCGCAGGGCGTGGCAGGAGAGGCACGGGATTCGCAAGGGGGGTGGTCCCTCAGCGCGGCCTCTAATCGTTGAGGCGCTCGCAGGGCGTGGCAGGAGAGGCATTCTCTCGACACCACAAAGGGTGCGCAGAAGGTGGTCCCTCAGCGCGGCCTCTATCCGTGACACGCTCGGCGGGCGTGGCAGGAGTGGCATTTTCTCGACACCACAGAGGGTGCGCAAGGGGGGTGGTCCCTCAGCGCGGCCTCTATCCGTGACACGCTCGGCGGGCGTGGCAGGAGTGGCACTTTCCCGACACCACAAGGAGGAGCGCAGAGGGTGGTCGATCAGAGCGGTTTCTATCCGTGACACGCTCGCAGGGCGTGGCAGGAGTGGCACTTGCTCGACACCACAAGGGGTGCGCAGAAGGTGGTCCACCAGCGCGGCCTCTATCCGCTTCACGCTCGCAAGGCGTGGCAGGGTTGGCGATTATTCAACACCACAAAGGGGTGCGCAAGAGGTGGTCTCTCAACGCGGCTTCTATCCGTGACGCGCTCGGAGGGCGTGGCAGGAGAGGCACTTTCTCGACATTACAGGGGTTGCGCAGGGGGTGATCCACCAGCGCGGCCTCTATCCGTGACACGCTCGCAGGGCGTGGCAGGAGAGGCACTTTCTCGACACCACAAGGGGATTCGCAAGGGGGGTGGTCCCTCAGCGCGGCCTCTAATCGTTGAGGCGCTCACAAGGCGTAACAGGAGAGGCATTTTCTCGACACCACAGGGGGTGCGCAGAGGGTGGTCCCTCAGCGCAGCCTCTATCTGTGACGCGTTCGCAAAGGGTGGCAGGCGTGGCATTTCCTCGCCTCCACAAATGGTGCGCTGGGGATGGGTGCGCTATGCGCTGCAAGCTCGCAAGGCGTAGCATTCCGTCGGCGCCACACGGGGTGCGCTGGGGGTGGGGGCGATATGCGCTGCAGGCTCGCAGAGCATGGCAGGCGTGGCAGTCACTCGACGCGCCACGGGGGGTGCGTTGGGGGTGGTCTCTCACAGCGGCCCCTAGGAGTGCCAGGGTCGGACAGGGTGGCAGGCGTGGCATTTTCTCGACGGCACAAGGGGTGCGCTGGGGGTGGGGGCGCTATGCGTTGCAGGCTAGCAGGGCATGGCAGGCGTGGCATTTCCTCGACGCCACAGGGGGTGCGCAGGGGGTGGAAACGCTATCCGCCCTGGTCGTTCACGGCACAGCAGGGGTAACACTTCCTTGACCACCTAGCACCATCCACGTATGTTGCACGTATGTTGCACGTCAGCTACGCTAGAACAACAATTACAACGAAATGTGCGGGGTCCCTCGGTAGCGTACTCTTTCCGTTCTGTGTTCGTTCTCCCTCGCTTTGCCTTCGCACCACCTCTGCTGCAAAACGAGGTCAACACGAAAACGGCCCACGAGATCGCCCAAACACCGCTCAGGTCGAGCCCTGCCCCCTATGTGACCACGTTTTTTTTGTTGTTAGTTGTTTTTTTTGTTTTTTCTTTTTGAGATAAAAAAAGAAAAAAAAAAAAAAAAAAAAAAAAAAACGTATCGGCTCCACCTGTGAGGAAAAAGAGGGACAGGAGGAGGAAGGAGAAGGGGAAGGAGGGGGAGAGAAGAAGACAAGGGGCCCCCTGTGTGACCACGTCTGAAGAGGCCCGTTTCGGCCCTCGGGCGCCCAGAGGAAGGCCCGGCCGCCGATGGCGGGGGGGGGGGCTGCGGCAGCGGGCTCCCCGCAAGAGCCAAACTGCGCCAAGACAGATCGAGTACTCCAGATTTCGTAGTAAAGGGAGGGGGGTCTCATTTCGGGGGGGGGGTCTTTTCCAGGCTATCTTGGAGGGCCTGAGGGGGTCTGGGGACGATGTTTTGGAGGGTTCTCCCACGGGGGAGGTCTGAAATGGCTTGTCTTGGAGGGTCCGGACCCCCTCCCTTTTATTACGAAATCTGGAGTAGGGCACAGGGCAGCAGTCAGGCCAGCGCGGGGCTACCGGGGAGGTGCTGGAGTGCGACCAGGGCCGCCCGAGCACTGATCTGACAGGTCAGTTGTGAAACTAATTATCGCCTCGTGGCCGCTATGAGTGAGGTCAGCACTCGGGCTTCCCAGGCATCGCCTGAGGGGACTCGACCGACCCGAACGCTGACCAGACCTTTCTTCGATCCCGAATCGAGAGTTCTGCATGAATCATCTGCGACAACATCATACTCAGGAGCATGCCCTCGAAATGCTTCCGCGTCTCCTCTCATCGCCTCCACGCCTCACGGCCTGCCTTGTGGGCTCTCACGCTGCCCGGCGAGCTCCGGCGAGCTCCTGCTTGGAAGCGAGGCGGCGCACCCCTGTGACGAGATCCCAGCGCAACAGCCCCTGCCCCGAATGCGGGATGAGGATTCATGAAGAACATGAGAGAGAGAGAGAGAGAGAACGATTGCAAAAATAGTTTTCTGCTATTTCTGCACAGTTTTCTAACTGGAGCAGAACGATTCAAAAGATAGTTTTCCAGCCCGCGGCCGGTTTTTTCTAATCGTCATCCCGGGCGCCGCCGCGTGAACACGACCCCCGGTCATGTATTAACCGTCAACCTCCATTATGACGCCCTCTGCTGGCCTGGATGGTGCATTCCGGCTGCAGGGGGGATGGGGTGCGGGATGGGGTCTTCGCCGCTTCTCCGAGCAGCACTGCGCCTCGGGTTCCGCTGCGTGTCCGCCCGCGCTCGTTGCTGGCGGTTCTCGCCGCTCGTGCTTGGCCGGTGCCTCCTCGTCGCCGCACGGAGGGTCGCCCGCTCTCCGCGTGCCCCCTGTGCCAGCGCCTTCCTCGCCGCCACGCGGTGTGCTTGCGGACCCAAGCGGTCGTTGGTGCCGCCGCGGCCAAGTCCCCTGAAAAGAACCGGTCGCACTTCACTTCGTGGCCAGCAGGGCCATGCGGCAGGGAGTCTAGAAAGAGCCTCTGGCTCCCAGGGCTCCCTCTGCGCAGAGCTGCGCGTGACAGCTGCGTGTCATCGTTTGTCCCGCCCTCGCCGCTGCCGCCTTGTCCTGGCAGGGGGTCTCGGACTTGTATCCAGAAGACTCCAGCCCGGCGTTGCTCATCACACACACACACACACCCCTTGCTGGCGCACGGGCGCTGGCCACGCTTAGCGAGGGCGAGGATGACGCAATGATTTTCCGATCGTGGTGGTGGTAATTCAACGTGCTCGGACATTTCGGGGATCTCCTGACCCGGGTCAATCCAGACCCGGGCCAGTCAGGCCTGCAGAATCCTGCAAGCTTCTGCAGGATCCTGCACCCAAACCCGGGGCGATGCGAAGGATCCTGCAGGATCCTGCACTCAAACCCGGGTCCATGCGACCCTGGCCCTGCAGGATCCTGCAAGATCGGGCGCTCTGGCTGACCCCCGTTTGCACTGACCCCCGTCTCGAGGCCCCCGAACATCTCGGACACGGGGCACTCCGGGGGCACGGCAGACTGCGGCAGTGAGGGCACGAGGGGACGCCAGCGCGCAGGGGACCAACGCATAGAAGGAGCCCACACGGGGCGTGCGCGCCCGACCGTGTACTTCTGCTTGAGTACGGCCCGGCACGCCGCAGGGCCAGCCTCGTGTTACGAGCGTTCGCGCAAGGCAAACTCTCGAAACCACTGAAACTCCTATGCACGAGCGTCTGTCTGTCGCTCCACTAGGGCGCTACCTCGAGAGCAGCCGATTGCGACAGACATGGCACCGCATGGCACAACCAAGGGGGACCAGCGTGGGAACCGCCGACTGTGACAACAGGGTCAGCTCTCTCCAGGACAGGTAAGGCCCCCCAAGAGTGCAAGAACCCGTTGCGCAACAACCGCCCAACTGATGACTGCCATCGACTACCGCTCAGAGACGCTCAGGGGAATATGCGAATGTCAAGTTATTTCGGGCCTGTCCCCCTACAGGGGGATATTCGACGAACAATAAAAAAAAGCCAAAATATTCCAAAAAGGTCAAAAATTACTTTAAAAAATAATCCCCAGACTTTTTGGACTATTGTTTGATTATTTTGAAGGTATTTCGTTGAAAATCCCCCTGTAGGGGGACAGGCCCGACTTAAGGGTAAAGGTCCGGTGCTGCGCAGTACTCAACGCTCCACTGGGTCAGAATATCACTCGCTGCGCGGCATCCGGTTCAAGACACGACGCGAGGTCGGCGGAAGGCCACGTTCAGGCGGCGGGCGAGGGGGGGCACTGAGCGCTGGGGCACCCAGGAGTTGGCAGCGCTCCTCCTCCTCCTCATCATCATCCTCCTCCTCCTCTTGTCGGCGGCGAGCGAGGGGGGGTAATGAGAAGGAGAAGGCCCTCTCAGAAGGCGGCGGGCTGCTCAGAAGCCCTCGCGCCCTCTGAACATTTGTTTGTCTGTCTTCGGGGAAGGCTTAGAACATTTCTGACAAGGCCGGGGGACTTCCGAGCCTTCCGAGAAGGCCTTCTCCTTCTCACTTCTCCCCCTCGCTCGCCGCCGAATGCTGCAGCGACCGGGGGGCAACGCCTCGTACCACCACTTCTCTTCCTTCCGCTGCACTCGCAGCAACTGCACGGGCCCGGGCGGAGCCGATGGAGCTGCCAGCGCTGGAGCAGCCACGGTCCTGGCCCCAAACACCCTCCCTGGAAAGATGTCTGGAGCGAGAGATAGGACGAGCCTGACGCGATGATGCGATTGGCTTGTGGATGCCATGATAATGGACACTCTAACAGTCCGATCATTGAACCTAAAGTGTGTTTAACCTGTCGGACAAATGTTCTAAACATGTTTCAAACATGTTTTTTCAATGTTTTAAACATGGCTGACACGTGCTTTAGACATCTGGAAAGTATGTGACAACATGCATCCTCTCCATTAATCGACTTCCACAAACCGAATGCGATGATGCGACTGGCTCAAGATGCGTTCCAACATTTCTGGAACATATCTATCGGTTCTATTAGTTGCAGCTTGTCCGGAACAAGAAAATCGGGAACCTGGTAGATACAACACACGTTATGATACCGGAGTTCCCCACATGATGATGTTACGGGGTTAACGAGATCGGCGGGGCACAACGCTCGTAAGAAATAATACCCTGACCGCCTTGGCGGGGCCTCCCAATACTGGTGGGAAGAGGTAGGGATATTTGGAATCATGGGATTCGAAAGCGGAACCTCCCAGGACGGGTGGGAGGGACACGACACCTTGTTCATAGTATCTTAAGAATATCAGTTTCGAATGCCCAGCCCGCTCTGTTGGGGCGCCCCTGGAGGGGTCGGAGGGGCACGAAACCTTGTAATTTCTCTCCTCGCTGAGGCGGGTCCTTCCTGGAGGGGTGGGGAGGGCAAGAAACCTTCTACGTGGTAGGTGTTTCCAATACCCTCGCTACGGCGGGACATCCCTGGAGGGGTGGGAGGGGCACGAAACCTTGTAAATAATATGTGTTGCGTGTACCCTCCTCACTCAGGCGGGACCTCCATGGAGGGATGGGAGGGGCACGATACCTTGTAAATCGCATGTGTTGCGGGTCCCCTCCTCGCTCAGGCGGGGCCTCCCTGGAAGGGTGAGAGGAAACGAACCCTTCTAAAGAGTATGTGTAGCGGATACCCCCCTCGCTCAGGCAGCGCCTCCCTGGAGGGGTGGGACAGGCACGGAACCTTGCACATAGTATGCGTGTCCAATTCCCTCCTCGCTCAGGCGGCGCCTCCCTGGAGAGGTTTGAGGGCACGAATCCTTCTACATCGTATGAGTTTCCAACTCCCTCCTCGCTCAGGCGCAGCCTCCCTAGTGGGGTGGGAGGGGTACGGCACCTTCAGTATGTGTTGCGGGTACCCTTCTCGCTCAGGCGGGGCCTCCCTGGAGGTTTGGGAGGGGCATGAAGCCAGGTAAATATTAGGTTTGTCCGATGCCCTCCTCGCTCAGGCGGCGCCTCCCTGGAAGGGTGGGAAGGGCTCGAAACCTTGTCAACCGCTTGTGCTTCCAAATCACTCCTCCCTCAAGCGGGGCTTCCCTGGAGGGGTGGGAGGGGCACGCAATATTGTAAACAGCACGTGTTGCTGATTCCCTCCTCACTCAGGCGGGGCCTCCCTGGAGGTGTGCGAGTGGCACGAAAACTTGACCATAGCATGGGTTACGGATACCCTCCTCGCTCAGGCGGGGCCTCCCTGGAGGAGTCGGAGGGGTACGTAATATCCGTTGCGGGTTGGGGTGGGACGGGCACGAAAGCTTGTACTAGCATGTGTTTCCAATTCCCTTCTCGCTCAGGCGGGGCCTCCCTGGTGCGAGAGGCACAGAACCTCGTAAATAGCATGTGATGCGGATTCCCTCCTCGCTCAGGCGGGGCCTGCTTGGAGAGGTGGGAACGGGGCGAACCCTTGTAACTAGTATTGCGGGTGCATTTCTCGCCCCGGCGGGCCCCCCCTGGAGGTATGAAAATGGTAAAGCATAGATGTGGCATGTACTATCCTCGCTAAGGCGGGGCCACCCTGGAGGTGTGGGAGGGACAGGGCACGTTGTAAATAGTATGTGTTGCAGATACTCTTCTCTTTCGGACAAGGCCTCGCTGAAGGATTTGTAGTCATATTAGTTAGAGAAGTAGTAGCTGTCATCATCGTCGTCGCCGCCATCGTTGTAGTAGAAATAATAGTTGTAGTCGTTGTAGTCGTCGTCGTCGTAGTAGTAGTGAAACTGGTCATATAGTTAACAGTCGTAGTGTCATGATCAGGAATAGCAGTAATAACCACAACACTGGTAACATCAGAATGTTGATCCGTAGTCGTAGTAGTAGTAGTAGTAGTAGTAGTAGTAGTAGTAGTAGTAGTAGTAGTAGTAGTCGTAGTAGTAGTATTAGTAGTAGTAGTAGTAGTAGTAGTAGTAGTAGTAGTAGTAGTAATAAGCACAGTGGCAGTAGTAGTCATAGTAGTAGTAGTAGTAGTAGTAGTAGTAGTAGTAGTAGTAGTAGTAGTAGTAGTAGTAGTAGTAGTCGCCGTAGGAATTGTAGTAGAAATATAAGTAGTAGGTGTTGTAGCGGTCGTGAGAGTAGTGATAGTAGTAGCAGTAGCAATAGCAGTAGCAGTAGCAGTAGTGGTGGAAGCAGTAGTAGTAGTAGTAGTAGTAGTAGT